ACGGTGTTCTTACCATTTAAAGATAAAATATGGTGTCAAAAGGATAAATTAGAAAACAAATCCACTTGTAAAATGTAACTTGGAATATTTTAAAATCCATTCTAATCAGTAAATGTTAGAATTCTACATAATTGTATTTACTATGGATCACCATATCTGCTTCCACCTTATCCCTTGATAAATTTCAGTGGGCTTTGTTTGAAATTTAGAGCTTCTTCCTGAAGTTTTCTGTTCCCACTGGAGTGCAAAACATGCAGTGGAGTAAGCAATAGGCTGTTGAGGAGCTCAGAGCTTCTAGCTATGGGACACTGAGGATTGACACTTAGTGAAGCACACTTCCTTTAATGCTTATTGAACAAAATTATTGTATTGAGATGGGAAAATCTATGTCAGGAACAAATACAAGGAATCACAGGGAAGTTTCACATTATGTAGTCTTGCATTTCCTTATATCTATATGGGTAAGTTAGTAAAAGGTTAATAGTCCCAAGACATAAACCTGAATTTAGTTTGTTGAAAACATATTTGAGTTTCATCTAGTGGTATTGATAATATATTATTTTCTTACTGTAATATTTCATGATACAAATAAACTTGTAATTAAATGGTAGACTTAGTAAAACACTCTGGCTTTCTCATCAAACACATATCAAATAGCCTGGCTTTCTACATGCAAATAGCAACTGTTGGCACATTTATAAAATAAAAGTTGCCTTTAATTCCACTCCTTCCCCTTTGACTTTAACATTGGAGGAGCAACTATTGAAAAAAAAAGAGCAAGCCTGGTTTGAATTCATCCATGGGATTGGCGAAGCAAGTGTTTAGATTTGCATGAACATGATTATTTTATCCCAAGCAGTTGAAGTCCTAGATGAGCCAGAATTTTAATTACAATAGGTCAGATAAAACCTCTAATTTTTTTTAAACCAATGTATTTGTTTCGAGGGCAGTGTTATTGTATAAACAATGTAATTTTATTCCTGTTAAACCTAGGTTGCTCTTACATCATGCATTATTAGCATTAAAAGACTTGAATCACAAATTCAAGTATCCATCAATGCTGAATGATCACAATCTGTTTGCCAATTCAACATAAATACCAAAACAAACATCAACCCACAGTTAACATCTTCGATATAATTAGTTTATCCAGCAACACAGAATATTATCTACTTCAAACCTGCACACTACCCTGAGCACTACCACCTCCAGCATTTAACTTGTTTTGGATTGTAAGAATTCATTTTTGTTCCAGTTTCATTCAAGTTACTGACAAGTATTCATAAAAAGTTCACAAAAATATGCCAGGAATTGAAATTGACCTGTAAAGATAGCATCCACCAATCATATATACACATCCAAATGTATCAAGGAATAACTTGAATTTCTATCAGACTATAAGATGTAGATGCAAAAAGTAGGCCATTCAGCCCATTGAGTCGGCTCTATCATTTAATGAGATCATAGCTGATCTAATAATCTCTTTACCTCTACTTTCCTGCCTTATCCCCATGACTCTTGATTCCTTTGCTGATTAAAAATCTGTTTATCTCCGCCTCGAATACACTTAACAACACAGCCTTGACAGCCCTCTGCAGTAAAGAATTCCACAGACTGACCATCTCCTAAGAGAAAAAAAAATCCTCATCATCTCTGTTTTAAATGGATGACCCCTTACTCTGAGATTATGTCCTCTGGCCCTAGACTCCCCTACAAGGGAAAACAACTTCTCCACATCTCCCCTTTCGATCCCCTTAAGAATCTTACATATTTCTATAGTCTCCTCTCATTCTTTTAAAAAGCCAATGAATAGAGGCCCAACCTGCTCAACCCCTTTTCATAAGAGCATCCTTCCATACCCAAATCAACCTAGTGAATCTTCCCTAAATGCCTCCAGTGCCTGTATATCACTGCTGAGATAAGGGAACCAAAACAGTTCATACTTTTCCGGGTGTGGTCTGACTCATGCATTGTATAACAAGCCTTCTGTATTTTTATACATCTTTCCCTTTGAAAAGAAGGTCAAAAGTGCATTTACCTTCCCTTTTAGTTGCTGAACTTGAATGCTCAATTTTTGAGATTCATGTAATAAGACACTTCTTTCATGTTGATACTTTTCTAATTTATAAAGTAATTGATTTTTGAGAATCCTGTTGATGGAAGTTAATCTAAATTTGACGTGAAACCCTCTAAACTATTAGATTGGCAGATGCAGATAATTTCCTTGTAGTAGAAATACAGGTGATGTTTATTGTGTCTTTATTTGGAGATCTGTAAGTTAACAAGGCAAATGTAAAGCATTCACTACATGAGCTGATTTGCTGCCCCAGAAAAATCTGGAGAATTGTAATTCTCCCTTGACTGAACCTCTTCCACCACTCTCACCAGAGTATAGATACCAGATTCAGAAGCAACCAGGGATGACAGATTGCAGCGGCAATTAGAGATTGAGGAGTGGAATGAGTTGGAAGTAAAGGGTGCCTTTATAATATGAGCGCAAGGGTACAGTTGGAGAGATGGCGTGGCTCTGTGAAAGGGGAGAGAATAAATATAGAAACAGTTATGGGTTGCGATGATCTTATTTCACTTAGAAAACAAATTACTTGCTCGTTTATATAATTATTGTTTGTGGGACCTCAATGTGTTGTAATTTGTCTGGTGTGTTTTCCTACATTGCAATATTGATTAAATTTCAACGGTATTGCGTTGATTATAAAGAGCTTTGAGCAAAGGGCTATATAAATGCTTGCCTTTTCTTTTTATGATCATGATGATTTCCCCAATTCGTCTAGCAAATTGGTTTAAATGTGTTTTTTTTTGCATTACATTACAAAAGCATGAAATATGTCAACAGAACTGAATTATTTTAGTAGGTGGAATCAAGTCATTGACTTCTGGGTATCTCTCATGACAGAATCTCCTTGACATACTAATCTCAAACCATGCTCTCCAATGTTAATAAATGTGTCTGTAAAAGAGCTATAAAGAAGTGAGAATAAGATGACGTTTGCTAGTGTCAAAGAATTTCTGTCATTTAGAATTATCAGCCAGGCAAGTGTCAGTAAGAATAATGCAACAATATAATTTTTCACCAATAAAGCCTAGCTTTCTACAATGACACATGCCTAGAAGGAATACTTAACAATAAACACCCAGAAAATGTCCACTCTGTTTTGCAATAAGTACAATTGCACTTTTGTAAGCTTATTCATTTCAGTGTCCTCTAATATTGCAGAGATTTTAAAAACATCTGAGGGAAGCATACAATGAGGTTTGTTTCTAAATAAAAAAATACATTTAAACCAACGTGTTTAGATGTAATTTTAACGCGAATAGAGATACCTAGCCCTTTTATAATGCAACAGCTGATTAATGGACTGCAACAGGAGGGAATAGGTGTTTACAGATTGAAATACAAATAGCAATTTAACCGCACAATGATTTCAAGTTTAGTCAGTTGTTTTAGTGTTCGTTGTATATGGACGACAAAAATATATTATCTTTGAACTTGACTCCAAACACAAACTTAAGACCAGGCTGGAATTTTATGACCCTCGGGCTAGTTGACCAGCGAGGCAGTGGGGCATAAAATTGGACATCATAGTGGGTGATGCTGAACCAGTTGCCTACATGCCTTCACTCTGATTTTACCTGCAAAGGGCATGTTGAGCAACCTGTTTTCCTGTCGACCAAATGAAGGCTGTAAATCAGCTAATTAAAGGCCTCTTCCCTCTGGTACTCAATTTTGGCTACAATGTAAAGTGTCACATTAATTGTCTAGATCATCAGATGAAAACTGGTGGCCTTGTTGCTAAGCTACGGTGATGGGTGCTTCCTGTTTGGGCAATGTATGCTCAATGGAGAGCCTTTAAAAGTTTGTTTTCTCCCTCACACACCATTTCTCCCACACCCCTTTACTAAGGCCTGACCATGGCAAAACCCCAGACTTGCATTAATTCAGGGTTCAACTGGAGTCTCTTTGCAACCACCACATCTGAAGCTGGGACGAGAGAGTTGCTAGCCATACGATTGGTTGATTTGCTGGTTAAAAGGATCTGATGGTTGTAACATTACTGCAGGGTGACACAGTAGCACCAAGGCAGATTTACCTCCATCTTTTCAGCCAGGTACCAACAATTCTACCAAATGTGACTCTGTGGAAATGAAAGGGGACGGAAATGACCATATTATAAAAATCATACGAACAAATGATATGTACCAAAGAATAGTACACCTCAATTCAGATCATTCTGAAATATGAATGGAATGAGAAATGAGGAATATTCAGCCAAAATCCATAACATAATCCATTTTGAGCCTGTTAATTCTTTGCCCAGTCTGTGAGTTCTGATAGTTTATCCAAGACACTGCATGCAAAGCTATCAGAAATGTTGTTTATGAGAAACCCTCTCACTATGTTTTAAAAGTAAAAGATGAATTAGTGGAGTCCTGGGGTCCTTGGTCAGAGATCTTCTGAAAAGAAATGATCTGTTTACACCAATGGGAAATGAATTTCCCAAAACCAAACTTTGACAAACCAATCCAAACTCCTGAGCATTAAATGACAGTCAGTCGGAGCAATCTCTTTTTTTTCAGGGGGGTGGTGGCATTACAAATAAATTTGTCTGCACAAAATATCTCTGAACCGTTTTGAATCAACATGTTAAAAAAAAAAAGAAAAGCAAAATACTTCTGATGCTGGGAATCAGAATAAAAACAGGAAATGCTGGAGAAACAAGTCATTGGATTCGAACCTCATTAATTGAGTTTCTCTCTTGACAGATGCTACCAGACCTGTTGAGTTTTTCAAGCAATTTTTTTGTTTCTGTTGCAAATACGTAAACGTTTTTCATATTTTGAGTGCAGGTGCACAGATTCTACTCCCCCATTTGAAGTCTAGCTCATAAATGTACAGAACAAATGGAACAGTATCATCAATACAGAAGTATCCATTGTTGGTTGAACAGATGAAATGCAATACCTTATTTTTGTTCCATCAGGAGCCATAAACCTTCAGTAATCATGCACGCTGTATCAAGACCGCACCCAGTTGAATCTCCAGACACACAGAAGAAGCGTCGCATACACAAGTGTGACTTTGATGGATGCAACAAAGTTTACACAAAGAGCTCACACCTCAAGGCACACAGGCGGACGCACACAGGTAAGAGAAATCTAAAGTATTGTCATTCCCCAAGAGCCCAAATGTTTTATAATGGAGCCATTAAATTTCTGTCTGTCTGTGCAAAATTCTTCTGGGACTAGCTACAATCTCTGATGATTTTAACCAGGTTTAAACAGCCCCATTTGTGGTTTTTTTTTCCTTTTTGCAGCATTCACCTGTTCCAGATTCAATAAACCATCAGTGAAAATCCCAATTTTACATTCCCCTACATATAAAATTCTTCTGCTGACCTTTCCACCGGATTCCTACCAGCCCTGACCCCTTTTTGCAGTGAAACTAGTGCGGGCTACCGTTGAGGCCCTCAAGTGATTGATTAATGACCACACAAGCACCATTCCCACCCCAGCTTAATTTTCAGATTATTATGAGGAGCTTTTTCCTTTGCCCCAGCCAAACTCTGCCCTCTGTGGATGCTCCCCCCGCCTTTCTGCCTCTCCACCAATAGCTTCACTCCCTCTTCTGCTCATTTTGCTCACCCACCAGGCCTCAGCTCCCCTTACTGCCTTGAGACCCCACACTTGCCCAGTCCTGGACTTGGCCATGAATTTAGACTTTAATTTTCACTGGGGAGCGTGAAGAGAAGAGGAGTTTTCCCTGGGAGGCAGGTCAGGCAAAGGCTGCCAGCTATGGTTGTAGACTGGACGCAAGGCCTGCCTCACTGCTTCAGAGTTGTGTGAAAGATTAATAAAAACTCAGGAAACCGTAAACAGTCATCTAGCCTTTACTGCTAATGCAATCTCCATGCCCCATCCATCCAAATTCCTTCAACTAATACCCTTTACTGCACCCTCCATGCCAACTTAAGCCTCTGTACCTCACCCCTTTGCATTCCCTATGCCAAACTATGCCTTTTGTTCATCTATATGGCAACCTATGCCCCCATTCACTCATCCCAATGGTCATTTATAGCTGCCAAATCAATTTTGAACCAACTCCTGCCAATCTATTTCTCCCACCACTGGTCATTACCGTTCCCTATCCATAGTATCCACTATGGATGCATCATGGAGTCATGCCAAAATTACATTACAATTGAGTCTAATGATAACTTCAATGTTTAGAAAAATCTGCCATCGATTAAAATTATTTTAGTTAATCTCTTATGAAATAGATATTTCATTTAAGTACTTAAACTCATATAAAAACAAACATTTCCATTCAATAAACATTTGAAGGTGTGAATCAATTGCTCAATTAGCAGGCAAACCTCGCCCCTGCCCCGGTAAAAATGGTAAGTTGGGAAATCAGTCCTGCAGCGCAGGGGGATTATCTTAGCCATTTTCCAGTCCTCTGGGACCCTCCCTGACTCCAGTGATTCCTGAAAGATCATCACCAATGTCTGCACAATCTCCTTAGCTTTCTTCTTCAGGACTTTGGAGTGTAGTCCATCTAGTCCAGGTGATGTACCACCTTGAGACCTTTCACTTCCCCAACACCTTCTCCCTGTTAATGGTGACACCAGATCATTCAGACAATGCTTTTGGCAGACTGAAAATTGATTCCATTTGTGTAAGCAATTATTTTACTTTCTGTTGTTTATTGTGGAAATAAGCCTGCATTTCAAGGAATATTTCTTAAAGTTTTAAATCTGACTGCAGTCCCAACAGTAAATTAAACGAGTAGTTAGTTATAATTATGAATGTTCCTTATTATGAATGTTCCTTATTCTGAACTAATCTCAGGCTAATTTTCTTAATATTATATCCAGAAATATTTGGTCTAAATTTTCTTTCATGACATTGCAAAGGTTAAACATAAGAATCTTCGCAATAACTTCAAATTATTTGTTACGGTGAACTTCCGTTTTCCTTTTTTCTGCAGGTGAGAAGCCCTACAAATGCACTTGGGATGGTTGCACGTGGAAATTTGCCCGCTCAGATGAGTTAACTCGACACTATCGCAAGCACACCGGCATCAAGCCCTTCCAGTGTCCTGACTGTGATCGCAGCTTTTCCCGTTCAGACCACCTCGCCCTGCACAGAAAGCGACACATGCTGGTCTGAGTCTGTCATCTTTCACTGTGTAAGCCAGACAGGATGCAACTAAACTCATCCCTTTACTTAACTAAGATTCAGCTGGGCTGAATCCTTCAACAAATGAACTCTCTCATGTAGTCAGTATCTGATGTACAAACAATGCTCATTTTTTCTTGTTGTATGCAGGACTTATGTTTTAACAATATGAATGTCTTTATGGTGATGCATAGCATTCTCCACTGTGTGTATGGACTGAGTAATTTTTTTTTAAGTATAAAATTACATACTTCTGCCATCCGATTTGTTTGTTAAAATTGTCGGCATTTCACTTGATTAAAAAGCCTTTATAGTCTTGCCAGTGTAGAATGCTGCTGTATGCCATTTCCTTCATCAAAACCACACCTCATTCAAAATGTGTACTTTTTTGCAAATAGCTGATTGATGTTTTGTCATTATTCAGAGACAAATTTGGAAAGCAAATTACATTTTTGGTGTGAGGTTGGAGGACTCCAGGAAATTCCTGCGCAAACAACTGTGAAAGAAGGAAAGGCATTAATCTGGGTTTGGAGGAATTTGCCAATTTTGACCGACCTTTTTGACACATTTCGGCATTGCACTCACATCCTTTTCCTCAAATGCCATTTGTCTATTCTTTAGTGTTGGTATTCTATAGGTCCATCTCTTCTGCAGTGATGTCCACGTTTCAGTATCAACTTCAACAAGTTAATGAAGTTAACACAAAGGTTCAACAACAATGACTTCTCTTTATATCGTTGCACAACTGCAACCTCATATTATTACTGACTTTATTGGAAGTTCTCTTGTTCACGTAACATTCCCTTTCCCAAGTGGAAGTTTCATACTTTCACTGGTGGAGCTCAACCCATCCTGGAAATCAACCTGTCCAGTTCCCTAGAGTTCATAAAAATGAGACTTGAACTATGGGGTTCTGAACTATGATCCATTTTGTTTCATTTGTGGTCAAGTTACACTTTTTAATTTGATTGGATATGTGACCAACTTAAGGAAATTAAGAGTTTTTTCAGATAAATTAATTCAAATACAAAAGACATCCTCTTACAGAATCTGTCTTTTTATTGAATAAATGTTACCGAACACACACAATGGTCAAAAATGAAAAACATTAACATTTTATTTAAAGAATTGATTATATTTTGTCAGATAATAATTAAGCCAAATTTGACTCCTTACAGGAAGAATTAGGTAATGGGAATGTTGTGCATTGAATTGACAACTTCTAAAAGTGATTGTATGTTGTCCCATCGCCAATAAACCACATTATCATTGTTGTCTCTATTTTAGATGATGGAGAAAAATGACCCATGTATAACAAAATTCTTTAACTATCTGTGAGAAAGGAACCTGCTTCGAACAATTCTGCTCCACCCTTTTATCAAAATACCCTTATACCAACAGCTTCCTAATCTATAATTATACCATGGCACTTGACATATGCCTTTGGCAGGTAGACATAAATTGATTAATATAATGTTGGTTTCATGATATATCAATATGACACAACAGATGCTGTGCTGTCTAAAATCATCCTTGGGAAACTCTAAAATAATCAATGGGAATGAAGAATTCAAGAATTTGTGTGAGAAAATGTACTCTGCCAAATAAGGCATTTTGTCAAAGCTCAGTTGTTTTCATTTATTGCAACCGTTATAACATTTAATTTTAATAATTAAGGTATTTGGGCTAGTTCTATTAAGCTGCTCAAAAAATTGTCTTTTAAACATTAGTGTAAATATTTTTATTGCTGGTTTATTGCTTGCAGTTGGTAAGGTTTTAACATTTTTCACTACATCCAGTCGAACAAGCATAGTAATCTGAGGCTGATATGGACCTTGTCCTGTTTAAAGTTACACTACCGGCCGTTGGAGAACATTCTGTGATGTGGTTCATTAGATTCCAGTTTTATTAATTTATGCAAATGTTGAAAAGCAAACTTCAATTGCCATGGCTGTAATTTTTTTTCAAATATATCAATCACCAACTCTTCCAATTGTTTTCTGTAGAACTTTTAAAGCAACAAAATATTTTAAGTGAACAGCAAAACAAAATGATAGCCTAACCACCAGCATGGCTTCTGTGAACATAAACATGTTTACAAGTTTTTGAAATTTAAGTAAATCACAGGCTAATGCCACATACATGTATAAATCACCTCGATCTTACAAATCTATAATGTAAATAGACAATAGACCAGGTTTCATTCTATGTTCACACTTTGACTGTAATATGGGCTAGTGACCACTGCAGCCAATTTGGATATGTATCTAGTTTAATAATGCACTTTAATGCGTACCAAATATTATAAATTATATTCAGATTTGATATAATTTGGAGTGCAACATTTATTTCTGTAGCTCGTCTCATGGCTCAGCTGGTGAAAATTTAAATCAGTTTGGCATTGAGTCACACAAACCAGGAAAAGCACAAATTCGAACACACTTCATGAGAAATCATCTCACCACAGCATACCAGTAGAAATGCTATAATTAGCCTCAATATCTTTTAAAAAATTGAAACAAACAATCAAAGCAGTATCACTCCCATTCTAATTAGGATCAACATTTTCTGATGCTGTGAAATATATGTAAGGGTAGATGTCAAGTGAGGTCAGAATTGATACAGAGATAGTAGGAACTGCCGATGCTGGAGAATCTGAGATAACACGGTGTAGAGCTGGATGAACACAGCAGGCCAAGCAGCATCAGAGGAGCAGGAAGGCTGACGTTTCGGGTCGAGACCCGAAACGTCAGCTTTCCTGCTCCTCTGATGCTCCTATGAGGTCAGAATTGAGTTTGACTGTGGCCTACTGCCAATCACTGTCTATGTTTGAATATCTACTGAGGGTATTCAAGAGATGGAGGGGAGGAGGGACAAAGTTGTATGGTCCTACAGAACAGCAACTCAGCAACTCAACCTGTAAGGGAGAAAAATGAAATTTTTTTTTTGATTTCTGAAAACAAATAAATTTGCATTGGATCATCATAGTATAGTGACAAATAAACAGTAGTTAAGGTAAGATTTCCAGAGCAGTTCAATATTTGACCACATAGAAAATGATACCTCGGAGTTTATAGGTTCAACTAGATTGAGAATGTTTAGTAAGACGTAAGTATACAACGCGCAACTTATTTCAGAGTCACTTTGTGGGTGTGGGGCATCCCAGGTAGGAATACCTATAAGGAAATGCATCACTGCAGATGACGCTGTATATCAGAAGCAAGCGGTACAGAAATCTATGTAACAAAATAAAATGTGGACAGCATCAGATTCATATACATTTTAGAGAAATATTTCAGCTAAACAAGGGGCTGAGGGATAATGGAGATATGTGAACACAGTAATTTTTGGCGGCTGGCCTGCCTCATGTGTTGTAGTCATTCTTGAGATTTGTATAAGAGTGATGTGATTTTCTATAAGGTAGAGGTGTGGGGCACCTGCCTTAGAGTAGGACATCTTTCGAAGAATTTAAAATAAAACGCACTGCAAAATGAGTGCAATCAGGTAATAATCGCAGCACAAATAATAAATCTTGTGAGTTTCTATTGATTTTTTTTTTTGTACAAAGAAAAGGTCTCTGCTTCTAAAGGTAAAGTAATATTTTTTTAAGATTTATAATAAGGGTGTGAAAAGACTGAAATATCCGGTTGTGTCATTTATCGAGGTGGGAAGGGGGATTTAGATGGCATACACATTTTGAATCAATTCTTCTCAACTTAAGTACTTAAAATGTGAATTTTAACACTTTCTGTGGGGGAAACCATGCGTTTTGGTTTAGAATATTGGCTTTGTCTAGTTATTATTCCCAATGTCAACATCAAGAGGCATTTAAGAAAACTCAAGATGCTGAGCAAATGAAAGAAAATGTAAATATGTTTGTTTTGGTTTCTTGATTGTGTGCAGTAGCTATCACAGATAAAACTTTAAACTGATCCAGAAATAATGCATGATGTAATTGTTCCAATTTGGAACCACTTGTGCATTAGAATGATACTTACTATGTATTACAAGCAAATCCTAAATTAAGTATTTATACTTGTTAAAATATATTCTTTTCAACTGCGATATTATCATGTAAGGCTTTCAACAGTTACAAAGTCTATGATAAAGAAATGAATGCAATATTTCAAGGCCAATTTGTAGCAAAAGACGTGCCCTCAACATTTTCTCTACTGACCTGTGAATCTGGTGATGTTCAACAGAAGATGAAATTTATTTTTACTAGCAAGAATTCATCAAACAAAATGCTGTAACTATGAATCATGTAAGATCTCTACTTTATGAACTCTTTTTTTAAAAAAGTAGTGGTTATCTCTTTTTTTAACAAAACACATGCAGAAATAATAAATGTTGGAATAATGTTCGAAAGATTAAATTTCAGTACAAACCAGAAGGTGATTGGACCTACTTATCATTTGAATTTGACTTTCTCAGTTGGATGATTTTCGTGAGTTGCAAGCAGGCTGGTACATTAAGTTGGCATTGCAGTAGTGATAACAGTCATATGGGCCAAACTACTGTTTTCCCATCACCTCCACTTACTCCAGGCTTTCCAACAAGTGATGGATCGATGGTGAAGGAGACATCTGCAAAAGGAAGAAAAAAAATTGCCTGTTAATAAATACTTATGACTTCCAAGTGTTTAGGGTCTTGAAAAGTCATTGCTCTAGATATTTTCTAATCAATCTGGTTAGATATGTTATTACACACCTCTAGAGTACACTGGATTTGAACCCAGGTTTAACCACTGTGCTATAAGTTCCTAAGACGTTACTCTAAAATATTATATCCTATTGCCCTCCAGTGTGAAGATAATTCTATTCAACATCCATTGTGAAGCACTTTCATCTCTCAATCTATAATTTTCTACTCTTTACCCAGCTAGAATTATTTCATCTGCTCAGCATCTGTGAAGACCCACTTTGAGTATTCCAGCAGTTTATTGTTGAAAATTTAAGCAATAAATTGTGCTGAAAATGTAGAACAATATAGGACTATATTTCAAGGGATAATAAGACTAATTTGGGATTTTGTTAACTTTATTTAAGTCATACAATATTGTCTGCAGTCTATATAATTAAAGATGTGAAGTTATAAAGTTTTTTTTAACTATTTCTTCATTTCTAGATTGTCCCATGGGAGTTTAGTAATGACATTTTGTCATGTCAAACTGTGAACACAAATTTGTACTGTACAGTCTTACTCTATATTCAATATGTATATGTATTGTACATCTGTCAATAAAACTGTATATATACAAAAAAGATATACTTTGGTCAATGAATATAGTGCACGTTGATTAATCAGGCATGGCAATACAAAAGTCAGAATTTTGTACTCTCCGCACATCAATGTAATTTACTACAAGTCATAATATAATCAAAATTAAGAAACAAGGTCCAAAGACCAACTGATATTCCAAAACTGTGAATATGCACAACACCAATGAGGACTGATTCCATTGTTTGGAGCTACTCAACTTGAAACGCACTACCTGGACAATTGAAGGCAAATAAGGGGGTGTTTAAAATCAATCCCTAAAATAAAAACCAGGGGCAAACACCAGCATGTGTGACATGCACAGACTGAGGCTACATCCAAAAGTTCCTTCCACCCATTGTGGCTGATTGTGGTATCACTTTTCTCTGTATTGA